TTCTCTTTCACGGGGAAAACTTAAGAAACTTGATTGTTCTGATTAAATTTCTGAGTCTTATTTACTTAAAATGAATCATGGTAACAGGCCCCTTCTTAAATCCATCTTCTCCTGTCACTTTGTGCTGGTTTTGGCTGGGATGGAGTTAATTTTCTTTATAGTAGCTGGTATGGAGACATGTTTTGGATTTGTGCAGAAACCAGTGTTGATAATACAGTCAGTGCTTGCATGGTGTCAGGGCCTTTTCTGCTTCTCACACCACCCCACACTGGAATAATTTTACTTTTTGTCATATACCTTGTTTTCCTTACCATTTGTGGTCTGTCTTTGAACTCTTAAGTTGGCTGTTGTCACTGAACCCAGGAATGCTCACAAGCGTACAGTCTTTCTTCTTTCAAGTCCCTTGGCAAGAGATGTATATTCACAGAGACTGAAGAGGGTAGGAGATTGTACATTAGTATATAAACTCAGTTCATAAATTCCCAGTTTCAGTTTTTAGTTGGTACCCCTTGAACTGTGTGCTTTCAGCTGGGGAGTGCTTTCAATCATCTGCTGCTTTTCAGTGGAGTTTCTTCAGGGAATAGTTTTCCGTAACAGTTGTGTTTATCCTCTTTGATAACCACCTGTCTTAGCAGACCTAATTCTGATTGCTTTTTTGTTGTCATTAATTTGTTTGGCATTCCTCGGGTGCACAAAGAAAGTGACAGGATGGAAACCCATCAGACAGAACAAAAGCTACTGCTTTGTTCAAGTACTTTAATTTTCCTGCCCTTCATTTTCCTCTAAGACCGTTTCTTTGTCAAGAGAACAACCATCTCTTTTTACTCATCTTTGGAGTCCTGTTTTACCGGGTTGCCCACTCTAATTTTTCTGTTGTGATGTCTATACATATTTTAATTTATTTTTTAACTCTAGAAGACAAAACCTCTCCTGCAGAATCAGGTACCATGCTGACCAGAAAACCTGGGTTTTTTTGTGTTCCTTTTTTTTCCTTTTATATTATTATAACTGATACAAACTTTTAATGAAACCCTTGGCCTTGAAGACTAGAAAAGAAAGTATTTGACAATGTGGGGAGAAAACTAATGAAGATAAACTGCTTTTTGTCTCTTCTTGTAGCTATGATTCTCAGACGTGTGTACTTACACACCAGCAAACAAAAATATTAGTGTGTTGGACTTGGTAATCTACTTCTAATTGAAGCTTTGTGTCAATATAATTAACATTTAGCAGATTAGTGCACTCTATGCTTCTGTAAATGTACAGTAACTCTCCCTTATAATATATAGTGGATGGATAGTTGTGCCGATCCAGAGTCTCCTAGTGAAATACTCACAGCTGCAATAATAGTGGTAGTGAAACCATGAGACCTTTAACAATGTTACTACCTTTCAGTTGTCCAGTTGATGTAACTCTTGCTTGAGAAAATTAGCAATATTTTCATCGAGCTTTGTGGTGAATAAGGCTCCTCTTAGTTCCTTATAGGTGTTTTACTTTGCAATGAAATTTATTACTATTGATCTGTGTTGGGGTGAATATTTTTAACGACTGTGTATAAAGTCAGAAAAAGCGAATGTTGTTCCATCTCAGAAGTAAAACCTCCAATACTGAAGATACTTATGCTTTTATTAGCCAGCAAAAGTAATATAGAGTAATAATTAATGTAATGCTGTGCAAATTGCAAACATATTAATGTTAATTGTGGGGACTGCCCAACTTATGATTTTTCTGTTTAATTTGATTCCTTCAGCTTTTCAGTGGCTTAATCCTGACCACGCAAACAGATTACAGTTTAGTTTTATTGTTGTTGTTAATGAAAACAAATCTGTCTATGGGTATAGAAATCGCTGGATTTAGTGGATATGGCCCCTTCCTAACAAAACTCCATGAATTAATGTTTCTGAAAATTGTGGTCTCTAAATTGACACATTTCAATTCATGTTTGATGTGAGCTTTTTTACCTGAAAGTTATGGAGATGTGAGAGTAGTGAGTCTATACCTCCTGCCTGTGAAAATTTAGGTCTTCATTAAACAGGTTGAATAGTTTTGGCACAATATGCATTGGTAAATATTCCCTTGTTTCTAGTTGAAGGCTGAGATCTTCTATACCTGTTCTGCTTTGTTAAATAACTTTATTCTCTCACAGATGTTTGGCTGAAGAGAGCTTTCATATCTCTTTTGACACAGAGAGTATATCTTATTTATTTGAATAGCTAGATTCTTCCACTGTCTTCTAGTTTCAGTTTCCTTACTTCAGTTTTCCTCCAGTGACAGTGATGAAGGTAATGCCTTATCAAAGCATCGAGTTATCAAATGCTTAATTGTCTGCTGCTGTGCATCTATAGCAGCTTATTTCTTTGTAAATAAATCCTGCATTTTTAAAGACTTTAGTTTGGATAATGGAAAACTCACGGTAGAACTCACGGTAGACTTGAGTGAGGTTTTTGAAGGTTTAGATTGATGCCTTTGGGATTATTAGAATAAGGAGCCCATTCATTTGTTCATTCACGAATCCTTCTAAATCAGGTTTGGCTTCTCTTCTGTGAGGGTCTGTGTATTTTTTTAAGTATTAAAACTTTGATTTCATACTGAGCAAGAGAATGAAAGAGAGGAAGAACATAGCAAGTGAGGATGAAAAGTCTTTTCAGAAAAAAAGCCCAAAGACTTGTTGATACTGGACAGCGAAGCAGGAAACTACACGTGTCATAAAAGGCTCCAGCTTGTTGGATAAAGGCTGAAACTCAGGATGTAGTCTATAAATACAAAACAGTTTCATAAAAATATTTTTAAAATGCAGTTCTGAGCACTTTAGAGAAGAGAAGCTGACTGATAACTGTTCAGCTACTTTAATATATATAATTGTACAGATGCATGCACACATATACATTCATAACATACTTTCATCTGTAAACATGAATATAGTCAACTCAGTGATAAGTATTTCCCAAGGGAGACTGGTAACATTACGAGCACTAGATGTAAATTTGGGAGCTACAGACCATATTCTTTGCAGATTCTAAACCAGCAACTTAGTGGAGAAATAAAAAGGAAGGGAGTCCAATTTCAACAAGCAGAAGGGAAAGAATTTGTGAAGCTGAATATTTGCCTACACAAAAAGTTGTGAACTTCTTTTTCCACAGTATTTTGTCGCAAGTTTTTCTTTTTAAGCATTACACCTAACAGCCTTCTGGGAATTTTTGGGATGTCTTCTATCCTGACCAGTTGATAGTTGTTGAAATTTTCACTCAATTTGGAAATAAAAGTGTTTGTACTTGAACTTGCTGAAACTGTTGGCCAAGAAATACGTCTGGAACAGATTTACTAGCTGCAATTAATGACCACATTCACTTTTTTCCCCTCTGACTTGTCAAATATGAACTTTCAGGGATCTCAAACTACAAGTTGCTACATCCTTTTCCTTGCAAAGTTGCTTTCGTTTTTAGACTGTTGTTCAGAATTACTGAGTAAAATACAGTAATTTGGAATATCAGAAAAAATTGTAATAATACAAGAGTGTGTTTCTGATTGGTAGTCTCTTGTTGTACTTTGTTGTATGAAACAAGGCAAGGTTGGAAAAATCTTTTTTTTCTTACCATGTTTTAAGTTTTTTTTTCCTTTACTGAATACCAGAATAACAATACTACAGCAGGCCTGTAATAACGGAGTAGCTGTAATGCTACGTCACTCTGAATATGTTTATGCCTTCATTTTTCTCTTGTTATTATTTCTAATTTACAAGCATTTACATGAAGATACCCGTCTCTCTGAAATCCCTCCATTGTTGCCCATTTCTGTTGTACCAGTTTCAAAGGCAGCCAGTGTCCCAAGGTGAGACTTCATCCACCCACCCAACACAAACAAATCCAGTTGTACTCATGTCAAGACCCAAACTCAGTCAAGTTCCCTAAAGACTGTGAGGGAGGAAGCCCAAAGTAATTGATACCTGACAAAAACTGCTGCCTGTTTGGTGTGTTAACTGTATGAGACACCTGTTTTCTTGAATTCGTGCTTAAACAGTTTTCGCACATATTTTTGAGATTTTTGTTAAAGGAACCCCGTGTTTCATCACATGGTCTGTGACCTGATTGCAGTGCTGTTTCTAGAGTGAATAGCTGATTAGAAAACTAAAATAATTGAACAACTGAAACTGCTCAGAATGGTTTGCTTGAAAGAAGCTGCTGTGCCATCTGCTTGTGCCACTAAGGGTGCTTGATCACATACTGTCAAATAAAAGCAAACCCTAGAAATCTCATGTACCCTACTTTTCTGTATGATTAGAGCTGATCTTACCTCAGGTGGCATTTTGAGAAAAAGAACATAAACAGGGATTTAGGTCATGTCTTGTAACCTACCAAATTCTGTACGGTTGTTTTGCATGTGAAAAGCAGTGGTGAAACATTAATTTCAGGAAGGCATTCTTGTTATCCTTCCCTTCTGATGGAGAAATTTAAGGATTTTTACTTTTAATTCTTCTGAGCATAAGACAGTGTTCTGGAGTGGATATTTAACAAGGACTGTTTTGTCAGCTGGATGGAAGTCATGTGCAGGGAGGTTTGCAGTCTGTGTTTCTTGCCTGTCGTGGCACAGCACTCTGCGACTTCCCTGAGAAGATGTGATGTGTCACATTTGTGCTCTTTGCTCTGAAGCATTCCCAATGCATATCTCTGACAACATGGGGAAAATAATGACATGAGAGAAATTTAGGATTGATACCTATAGGTCACCTGTGAAACTTCAGAGCTTGGAGATTATGCTGTTAGGACTGGCAATATAAATGCTAGAGACCATCTACAGCTGACTGGATGTACAGCTGTCCGGTACTGCTGACTACCTGTTTGCAGGCTTTCAGTCTCCAAATGAAGATGAAGGGTTCTGATTTCTGAAATTTACATTGTCTAAGCCAAAGTTCAGCCTTTCAGGACCCTTGTCCATTTTCAAACTGTGGCTTTGATGATGCACAATGATGAAGCTAAATGCCTTCTCTGTTGCTGTGTCTCCAGGCATTGTTACAGGGAGCCTCTGGGAGTTCCAGGGTGAAGAGATCTTCTTCATCTGGAGACCTCTGCTAAAGGTGAAGACCTCCTAACAGGCCAGACAGCCTTAGCAGGACTCAGAAATCATACATCAAGGTAAAACAATTCATTTTTCAAGCAAATTGAATTGGCTGATACAATTTTCAAAATAAGGATTTTTTTTTTCTTGCTAAATAAACACAGAAATACATCTCTGAGCTTTCTCCTTTTATGTGTATTCCTCCTTGCTACCTGCTACAAATGTTGTAGTAGCAAATGCTGGAGTGGGGTGAGTGGGAGACAACATACTGCATTGTTGATTAGAGCCAGAAGTAACTCCTTATATTATTAGTAAGAAGATATATTTGCAGTTCTTTGTTCACAATGGAACAGGCTGTTTCTAAGCTCTACAGCACGCTCTGTTTTTAGAAACATATCCCACTTTAATTGTCGTATTCAGAGCTCACTTTGGCCACAACAATATGAAAACACACTCTGATATCTTCAGCAATGGGAGAAGGACAAGGTTTGCATATCATGAATTTCTGTTTATCAGCACTGTAGTTATTTCTTAGTGTGGTCATCCAGAACCCATTCTTGCTTGTAAAGGACAAATGCTGATGGAAGAAACTTTTTTGAACCTATAAATGCTACAGTCCCAGGCACTCTGGGAGATTTGACTATGCTATGGCTTTGTTAGCTTGCCAGGATTTTGAATGTAGTGATGATATATGCAGAATCTTCCCTTCATACTGACAAGATTAATTGAACTTTGTGTAGAGAGTTGGCTGAAAAAAGTGAGTAGTAGTGGAAATGTTTTCTATGTATTTCTTCAAGATTAAACGTAGGTACTTCTAAAGGTCTGCCAACTTCTCTATTTTTTGAAAATAGCTGTTGCAAGGTGTTAATTTCACTGTTGGAAAGCTTCTTAAATAAATATTTCTTGATTCATCCAAAAAGAATTGCAGATTTTTGTAGTTAATCCTTTATTGATCTTTCTAATTTAGGCTGGAATTAGAGCTCTGAACTAGAACAAAGTTCATTGTCCTACCATCCGTAGAGTAAATCAAGAGTTTTGCGATCAGCACAATCAGTTTTTCAGCTCATAACCTTCCCTTCTGATCTGCTGTACATGCCTGGGAGTCAGACCACCAAGCACATTTAGGCCCCCTCATCCCTTTGTTACACCATGCCCTTTCTTTCTGCTTCTCAGTTCTTTGATTTCAGTTGCAACTGTGTTTCTCCAGTCTACTGGCAAGGTCGTCTTGAACAACTGAGGATGCTCATTGTTCAACTGAGTATTCAAACCTTCACAGAACAGCAAAACTGATGATGATGATTATACACTGATTTCAAACTGAAGGAAAAAACCCAATCCAGAAATACTTATCTCCATAATGTTTCCTTTTGTTACATCTGCTTTAGGAGTACAAGAGACAATGCAAGTTGAGATAACCATGGACTAAAAAAATATAGTATTTCTTCTGAAAGTTATTTAAACGTTTATTTATTTTAAAAGTCCAGTTTTATGCATTGAGAGAGTAAAGACTTCCTAGAAAGTATCCTTATAATCCCATGGGCTGCATGGATGTATCTTAAGTGGGGTGGTGGTGGTTAGGTTTCATGTACAACAGTGTTAGTGTACTGTCAGTGCACAGCATCCAGGATTAAAATGCAGCCTTGAATGCTGTCACTGCTTCCAGCAAGGCAGTTTGTTCTTTACCTTTCTGTCTCTTGTTTCCCTTTGTTGGAAGGGTTTGTTGCTAACCAGAAACACATTATATGAGACAGCCAAAAGTTCTGGTGAAAATCAAGAACAGTTCATAGCCATGAAGATTTTATATTTGCCCTAGATTCTTTTTTTTTTCATTGATGCAGCTGTAACTGTTGTTGTAAATTATATAAATAATTGATCAAGGAGTTCTTGTTACCTTAAATAATGTTATGCTTATTGCTTCTCATAACTGTGCTGCTCTTTGTTGTACTACAGCATAGCTCATACCCTGCTCTGTGTGTGTGTGTTTTATTCCCTTAAAATTTTCTTCTGCTCCCGACCCTTTGCTCTTCCCCTCTTCCCCCTTCCTGGCAAGAACATGTTGTTTCTGCTTCAGTTTATTCCATGATTTGACTGAAAAGCGAGATCTTTTTTAATCAACAGCAACACATTTAAAAAAACCCTCCACAACCCTGGGAACTGTGCAGTGCGCACATCTGTTTTCACATAAGCATGAATTGCTGGCTTTACAAACACGAAGCATGTAGTCCTTGCCACAGACTTAGCTAAAGTGTTCTGTAACTTGAGCCTCTATTTGAAATAAAAACAAAATTGTATAGCTTCTTTACCATACTAATGGAAAACATTTAATTTACTTCTTCAAGCCAACCAAAAGTATGACGCAATGCTGCTCAAGCAGATTTACAGTGCCTTTTCTTCCCTGGAAATCAATACAGCTTGGAAGTGCTGCTATGGGAGCTGGCTAGTTGACTGCGATCCAGCTGCATTCAAATGTAAACTTCTGTGCCGCAAACCAAAACTGGTGATTTTGATTTATTCAGGCATCACTCTGTCTTTGAGATATTATGGTGTTGGATTTTATTCTTTGTTTTATTGCCATTAATGTTAGGTTGAATTTCAAAATAGGTAGTTCAGTGGGTTTGTGATTTTTTTTTTTTTTAAATCATTCAGTGATTTTCTACATTTCCTGAATTAAAGTACTTAGGTCTGTGGTAGTGATATCAGCAGAAGCAGATCTATGTACATGGCCATGTGTGCCTTTCAGTGGAGTCTTTTTTCCCTTAAACAAAAAAATAACACCACCAAAAAAACAGGCCTCCACTCTGTGAGCATTAAGGGCTAACATAATCGTTTTCCACTTTGTACAGACTAAGCTCTGAGCATCAAATGTTGTTTGATTTTTCTCCCGCTAGAAGAGGCAAAATGGAACAGTGTTCTTTAGCTGAGTCCAAAATAGTTTTTACAACAAAACTATGGAGTTTATTTAATAAGTGAAACCAACAGTGCAGATTTTCATAGTGCACAAACTTTTATACCTTTGTTTCCCTTCTGATTCCTCACTGCCTCCACTAATGGTTTTGACTTTATTTAAACTCTCTGCTGTAAGAGGCTGTTGGTGTTTCTCTCCTTATTTTTTACCTTAATGGGATTTCATCTTTTCTAAAATAACCCTTAGAATGGGATCCCGGATGCTGCCTTGCTCCCTAGATGTATTTCTTTGGGAAGTCTGTCACTGATGGCCTGTGTGCTGATCATGCTTACTTCTACCAGAAGGAAAATCATGACTTGATACTTGCCTGCTAGCTTGCCAGAAGTATATTTCATTTTTTTTTAAAAAAAGAAAAGTTCTACTTCCGTTTCTCACGTAAATTTGATTCTTTTTTTTTTTTTAATCCTCCATTCATTTTTCTCTTTCTTATATGTAACAATCTCACGGTGAAGAAAGAGCCTGAGAAGATAATGTTGACGAATTGAGATCCTTTTTGTAGGGACAGCTTGGGATGTTGTGGGTTAGCGAAGAGGAAGATGGGGATTTGAGTTGTGTGGGAGTCTGGGGTTGGAGGTTTTTTGGAGTTTTTTTTTTCTTGAGATGAATACAGTGAAGATGAGAAACAATGTTGCTGATAGCTGCATTATTTTCTTCGAAAAGGCTACCATATGAGACTTGATAGAGAAGTACATAGAATCCAAATTACAAATATTAATGGTTTGGTTTATTTGGAGGAAAAAAGTGGAAACAGAGATTTGTACCAAATTTCAGTGCAGTTTCAAACATTCTTTAATACAATTTTGTAAATTTTCAAACTACTGAATGGTTTTACTCATGGTATAAATTCTGATTTTTAAAGATGCATAGAGTTGGAGAACATATGGTGACAGTGTGATTATCACGTTTTCTATTAAATATAAGGACAACATATATCCAGTTGCTTCTAACTTAGACATAATAAAGATTTCAGCTATTAGATATTGCCCAACAATCTTCAACAGCTTAAGTTTATTCTCTGAAATGCTTCCTGAAGATGGACAAAATGCCTCATTTAATTGGGGTGGCAAATCTGGATCTTTGGTGTTTGTACAATCATAAATGTCTCCCTGGCTGCTATTTGGGAAATAATGTCTTGTGTTGCAGCATATCAAATTACCAGAGATACTGCCCAACAAGGGCATCTTTCAAAGGAATGGTGTTATAAGGAACAACACATAAATCTTTAGAAGAAGAGACATTCAACCATTTCTACTCAGACTATCTAAGTGAAACAGAAATGCAGTTAAATTCAACAAACAGGCTGACACATTTTGGCAATATGTTTAGCCCATAGGTTTTCTGTTTGACTGTTCCAAAATTCTTGTTAGTGTGAAAGGTCTGTCATTTAGCTTTCCTTTTGCCATTTTCTCTATACTAGCACTGGCAGTCCAGGCTGGCGTATGCCATAAAGACTTTTAAAGCTACACTTTGAATAAAGCTTACATTTACTACAGAATATTTGCTTTGCATGGTTACAGTACAAGCACTGTGTTCCTGTGTAAGCACTGTAATGAAGTTGTTAAGAAGAAACACTTACAGCATTTGCACTAAAGTTCATGGAGCATGAGATAGCTGCGCTGAGGATGCTGGTACTTGGAAGGGATTAAAAAAAGCTTCTCAGAAATAAACAAAAATAACATTCTCAGAGTAGCAAAACAGTATGCAAGTGATGAGAATAAAGGCACTAATTATTATGTAGAGAATAACCTCACTTGAAATGCCACAATGTGATCCACTTTATGATCTGACTTTCCTAAATATGATTTGAAAAGCAGGAAGTACAGGGCATGACCTAAAAATGGTAGTCTGGAACCTTCTTTAGGTATGTTGGGTCTGAAATGTAGTTTTTCCACTTGAGTCAAACCTGAATAAACTGTTTTGGGTGTTCATGTTGTCCTTATGGTTCCAGCTCTGCCAGGCATAGCTATTGCTACTTTATTTTAAGAATTACTTGGAATTTGAGTCCTGCTGGAAACAGAATGTTGTCAGGAAGATGCAGTCTTGCTGTTAAGAAACTTAAATAAGATAAGGCTAATCCTATTGTATGCCACTACTTTCGGAGGTAATGTAGAC